TTTTTTGAGAATGATTGTTGTTTTGGAGAAGTTGATGTAGAAGGATTAGGATTTGCAAATAATGATTTAGGGATTTTAAATCCTACCTCGAACTCGTCTGTTGCTTGTTTTTTCGCTTGTTTTGTTTTTGTGGGGGTGTTCTTTTTCGGTCGACCTCGTTTTCTTTGTGTCCGAAACTCGTCCTCGATTCGACATTGAATAATAAACTCAAGAATAAACTTGTGGAATTTCCACTAAAAATCACCACTTTTATGAGGAGACCACAATAAGCGTGCCGTTCAGATGTAGATCGTGGAATAATGTTTATAACCAAATTTAATTAAAACATTAAAAAAAAATCTAAGTTCAACAATTTCAAAGCTGATCAATAGATCATAAGATAATAAAAGTACAATACAAAAAGAATATCGAATTTTACGTAGGTTCATACCAAATCAGAAAAGCTAAAGCAATTAGTTACATTTTTTACGTGTTAATTTGGAAATTAAAAACGGTAACGACTTACCAAGGGTTAAGACGTTCATATTGGGAGGAGTAATACGTTAAAAGGTGTAACACTTTACTCGGATCGATTAATACATAGTTATCTAATAATTATTAGTTAAACAATTTAATTTAAATTAAAGAAATACCGGAGTCTCACTCGAACTTTCCACTGAGACTCGTAACCGAAACCGAATTAGGTTGCCTCTTCGAAGAAAGACAGAAATTAATTTAACTTCAAAACGAACTGTCTAAAACTGCGCTCCTCCGCAATATTTAAACCTTTACCCCCTGGACGCTCTTTACTCTAGGAATGTCCTTATTGGCCAACGCATAGTTCCACCAATCAGACAATTGCAACTATAGCAATTAAACAAAAGAAAAGGAAGGGAATGATGAGTCGAGCAACGATCTCCTCCTTTCGAGAATGAAAAAAAATATCAATAATTAATTAACAAAATCTGAACAGATCTGCGGATTGCTACAGTGGCTATTGAAATTATTATATCCGCGATTGTTGTTATGAGGAACAAAATTATTATTTCCTCGATTGTTTCGGTTATACCCATTAAATAGTCTACAATTCCGAAAATTTGTTCGTCTGATTTGATTACCTCTACCATTCATTTGAAAAACAGTGGATGAAGAGGGTCCATTTATCTCCTCATCTAAAGCAAGGTTAATTGCATCTTTTAGGGTTTACAAATTTCGCGCTTTAAGGATTGTTCTTAATTCATGATTTTCTAACCCGTTACAAAATGAATTTATCGCGAGTTTTTCATTAACAATGTGTAATAAACTTAGTAAATTTTCATCATGACCCGCTTGTGCCAAAGTTAAATCAGTAAGTAACTGTTCAATGTCCCTACCAAAATCATCAACTGTTTTACTCTGTTGCCGAGAATTATGGAGTTGATGGGACAGAGTAGTGGCAGATTTTCGAGTTGTAAAATTTTCTCTTATATCTTTTATAAGCGTTTCAACAGTATCATAATTTTTATTTAACCTTACTTTAGCATTGCCAGATAGTCTGGGTTTTAAAACATAATTAATTAAAAGTTCTTTACCATCTGCATTTAACAATTCAGAATATAATTCAATTGAATCTATTAATTATTTTGTAGTTTATGTATGTTATCTTCTAAAATACTCTGAATTTCTAGAACTATATTATCTACACCCAGAGAAAAAATTTGTTGGATTTAAAGGTTTTCCATTTTACGACAATAAAAAACGTATATAGATTTTAATCAAAAGGTTTTATTGTTAACCCAAGTTACTAAAATATGTTATTATAAAAATCAAAATCTTAGTTATATTAAAAAGAATTCTTTATTCGAAAAAAGATGTAGTTTTTAATTCAAAATTATTAAATGTTTCACATAATGCGTAAGGTTTTTAAATTAAAATGACTTAATTTTTATAGTAAGATTTTTGTGCTATTGAGGTAATAATGTATAAATGTTAGCAGAAAATTGATTCAACTTTATTATTAAAAGAACGGTATTTTAGTTTAANAAAATGGAGTGAGCCCGTTGATTTTATAACTGCTGTACTTTCTTTTTTCCAATCTTGGATATGCCAATCATAATTCAGCTTTTTTAATGTCCCATGTTTTTTTGAAAATATCGTAATACTCATCAGGAAGTATTATTGTGTCAAGTTTTTGAACCTCTTTTTCTATTAAAGCGAATACATGATCAGCTAGTAGGAACGAATGTCCTGTTACTGGGAATACAAGTTGCACTTTTTTAATATTACGTGGTGCTTGCGATAACCACTGCAGCCAAAATAGTGCTATTTTTATTTTGCCCTGAACATCTATCTGCACCCAAAGAAAAAATTTGTTGGATTTAAAGGTTTTCCATTTTACGACAATAAAAAAGTGTTAAAACTAAAGATATTTTATCTTTCAGAGATCACTCTGAGACTTAACTATATATAACCATATTGTCAGTAACAAAAGGTTTAAAAATAAAGATTGTTTTAAATGTCCATTGTAAATTGCGAAAAATGTTCATCGATTTTGATTCATGGAATTGATAAATATTAACTTTTACAATGAAGATTTAAGGTTCTTTTTATTTTCAAATCAAGGGGTAAAAAGTATTTTTTTAATTTAAAATATGGCGTTATATTTTACCGATCAATGCAAAAAAATGTACAACTATACCTAGTTAGCAGGTATCACTTATTAGTTGTAAAACAAATGAAAATGTAAACTACTATCATTAGTTGTAAATTAATTTGAAGTGATACCTGCTAACCTAACAATCCTTTCTCCAGTAGGTAAAAAATAAAAATGTGTGGGAACATTACAAATATCATTCAATCTTTTAATTACAGCACACGTAGAATTTGTAGCGATCTTATAAGCTAAATAATGTGGAAGGTACTCAACTACCTCCCAGTGGAAACAAAGAAAATAACATACATCCTTATTTACAATAATTTCAAATATTTCATAAACATTCGGTTGTTCTTCAGTGCTATCAAAAATCACATAACCTTTTTTGTACTTACTCCCTTTATACATAACTTCGTTCAAACCTTCACTTGACGATAAATCAATTTGAGCCCTAAATAAATCATATTTGCCGTTCCCTAAATCCACAGTCGTAGATATTTTATAAGCTACTTCGCTGGCGAAAAAATTCGTATTTAATATCCTATTAGCAAAGTCTAATTGCGTCTTAATAGTTAATGTTAATGGAATGTTTAATCTTGAACTGATATTTCTGGAATAACATTTGTGATTTTGATGCAAGGTTTCAAAACGAAAGCACCATTGGTGTCGAAGTGTACCACTTTTTCTGATAACGTGTGTACGTGTAGTGTACCATAAAATGATGCTTTGGTTTTAAATGATCAGTAAATAGAGTTACATACATTCTATGATGTTTCTGTATTAAACTGTCTAGCTTTGCCAAATCGGCCTCTGTAAAATCAATTTGTAAAATGATATCAATGATTTGAACAAATAAATTCAAAAATTCATACACCTCGTCCTCAAGTGGTATTAAATCACCTATCATTAATAAAATAAAATGTACAAAGCACTTCATTTCCGAAGCAGTCATTTTGAAATTGTGTGTCTTGATACTATTTAATGAAAAACAAAATAAGTAACCTCTTACTTGCAAATTTATTGTTATTTTACTTCGATACTAGTTTCGAGGTGCTACCTCATCTTCAGTCGAAACTACAAATTTTTAAAAAATTTTTTAAAAAATTAGAAAAACGAAAAAATGTTAACTTACAGAACTTACAGTCAAAAATTTTTAGAGATGTACACAAGCGAGAAGAAAAAATTCTTTATAGAAAAATATTAAAGATATGAACATGTTGAAAAGTTTCTTTTAAAAAATTATACGTAATAAAATTTTGAAGGTCAAACGGGATAAAAATGGTTGAAGACCGGTAACTAAATAAGAGGTTAAATCTAAAAATAAATAATTACTAACAAATTTAATATAATATGAGAAAACTTACGACGATACGAAGATAAACCGACGTAGCATAAGCTGCGAGACTTCCAACGTAGAAAAAACCCGAAAAACGTTAAAAAATTTAGAAAATACGTTAGAAGTCACGCAGCGACGCGGTGGAGGAACCAGAAGAGAAGAGACTAAAACGACTTAAACGACTAACGGAGAAGGAAGCGTGGGTCAGGAAACGTTGTTACAGTCTAATTTATTCCAATGTTTTGTATTTATGTTACTTGTAAATTTTTTTTATATTGTAATTTTTTTAAGCGACAGAATCTGGAGATCCTTTTTTCCCTTCCTATTATTCCTTCATTTGTACGGAATTATCATTATACAAGAATATTACTTAATTTTGATAATTGATATTGTGGTATTGTAGGAAAGCAGCAATATATCCCACATAGTTTTTGAACTCCTGCATGGGAGCGTAATGGGTCGTTAATTTCAAAGTCATCAAAATAAAGATAATATGGCAAGAGAATCTTAGAACAGTTATGATTATTGGCATATTTATCTCGCCATGTCGAAGCATTTATAAAATTGCATAGTTTCTGGCATGTTTTAATTTGTTTTATATTGTCAAGAGTTTTTTCCAAAACACCATCACATTCAAAATATTTTTTAAATTCAAAACGTACTACATTTTCGTCAATAGTATCGTCAATAGTAGGCGTATTATTAATTACAACTTCTGTCAAAGTGTTATTTATTGTGAAACATTTTCGGTGACTATATATGCCAATACTGCTAATGTGCTTAAAAAATTTATATTCCGATTTTATAGTTTTAAAAGGGTCTTTTAAGAATGTACTCAATCTTTCTAATTTATCGTGGATAACTGAATTTTCTGTATAGGGTAAAATACTATTAGTTATAAAGTTTGAAATAGGGGCTGTAATTGATGTTTGAGTTAAATTTTGAATATTAACAAAATTTTTTCGACTAAAATTATATTGGCTATGTAAAGATAAAATGAATGCAATTAAATCATTTTCAATATAGAAATGGTTTTCATTTACAGAATTACTTGATGATGCACGAAAACGAATATCTTCATTATTAGCCTGACAAATATTTATCTGTTCTATTTTTTGCTGGGAAGTTACGGCAGTTTCTGTACTTGCGTTATAATCATCCCTATTTGGAAACATATCAGTTGGCAAAAATTGTGTTGTTAACGTATTACATAACGGTATATTTTTAGCTTCATGTTTTTTCAAATGAGTTTTGTACGAGTAAATACTTTGAAATTGTTGCGTACATTGGGGATAAGTACAAATGAATTTAAAAATGGAAGGAACTCGGTGAAAATTTTTTAAATGATTTATAACATCAGAACTAGTATTAAATTTAAGTTTGCACACAAAACAACCGAACATTGCTATGAAAGAAAAAAAAATTTTTAATTGGAGTTTTCAATGTTAAGATGACCAACTAAACTATCCACAACAGTAATACTTTCATCCGAAATACCAAAAAAATATCGTGATAAAAACAACCAAACTAATCTGCTATTTTGTGAAAATTCTAAATTAAACACGTGTATTAATTTTATAGTAATGTCGAGACACTCTATAAATGAATTGAATTTGTATCTTATAGAGTCGCTATACACATAAAAATCTTCAAGTTTATTTTTATCGACGCCTACAACAACTATTCGTGGTTGTAATTTGATTTTCTTATCTCTGTAATTAGCTCTTACCGCTTCTATCTTTGGCAAGACATCGTTTATAGTTTTTACGTGCAACACAAAATCGTCTTGCGAGTCCAAAATTGTTGGTTTGTGAGTCCTGTTTATTCGCCTTGGCTGCAGTATTGCATGCAACAATAAAATTATTAAGTAATCTCTTGAATCTGAAAAATAATAGTGCAGATTTCGGCATTATAAGTACACAATAATATTTACCTTTTGAAAGCTCAGTATTTTTTTGCAGTTGCTCCAAGTGTTCCTTATTTAATTTGTCTCGGATGTCTCTGGAATATATAGGTAATATCAATTTCACAAAATTATTGAAATTATCTAAAAGAAGTGATCCTTTCCCTTTGTAAATGTTGTCGAAATCAATGTTAATCTGTTAAACAAAGATAAACCAAACTGTCAAAAATATTAAAAACTAACTATGCAATTACCAATTCATATCCTTTCGAGTCATTGTATTTTGGCCACTCTTTTAAAATTGTATTAAGGGAATTTACGGGCGATCTCAGTAATTTTAATCTATAGTTGGCAGTGCGTTGCCAATAATCCTTCACTTTATCCCATAAATCAGGATCAGAATTACTTAAAAGAAACGCCGTGTAATATTCTATCTCGTCTGTAAATATAGGTATACAATTTGCAATAACTTAAATAAAACACAATTAAGATTACCTTCTACATTATAAACATTAGTGGTACCATTATCAACATCCTCATTGTCTTGAGTTGGTTTTAACCTTTTCGTTATATGTTTTATGTTATTATACCGGTCATACAGTTTGCCGCTTGGATTTTTTTTATTTCTCCGTGGAGTATAGTATGTTGTCTATAATGAAAATACTTCGCTTAATGTGTTATTAATAATTTATATTAATACCTGAATTTCCGAAGGAAATAAATCTGTAATTAGTTTGGCATATATTTCAAATATCTCGCTAGAAATTTTTTTGTGCGCCAGGAACATACAGTCTGTTACGATGTGCACCAAATCTGTTTGCCTTTTTTTGTCAAGTCGTTTTATTTTTTTTTATAATATTCTAATATTATCAGCCCTTTAACAGAATTTTTTAATGTCTTTTCTAACCCTTCTTTTTGAACGATATCTGATGTTATAGATGAGGAAGTAGATTTGGGAGAAAGTAAATTGTTATCCAACCAGCTACTAACATTAGAGCTAGTACTACATGTTATTGTAGTTGCCAAGGGCGTCGTATAACCCTAAACAAAATGGTATTAAGTGTATTTACATTATTAGGTCCGAAACAAGAATACGATATTTCCAATTACACCAGGTTAGTACAAAATCCCGGGACGGTCAAAAACTTTGCTATTTGGGAACATATTTTTTAAATTTTGATGAGATTTAGGTTCTAAATCCGAAAATGGAAAAATATGCTGTTCTATTAAAATAAGGGTAGGAAACTTTTTTCTTTAACTGTTTCAGCATTTTGCACTAACCCTGCACGAAGTTATATTCAGAGTTGAGCAAAAAAATTGTTAAAAGTATTATTTAACCCTTTATGTGTGTATCGTTGGTACGCACCACGACTTTTCTATAACATGCGTTGTAGAAAAGTTTTTTTGGCTATTGCAGACAGATATGTAAAATTGACTTGCTTTTCGCCTTTTTTTGAAAGAAAATGTATAAGGTATTATTGTTATTGTTTTAATTACACTGTGACGTAATATTTCTCAACAGTTGGGCGTTGAGTGTTTTTAATTTGTTTTGGGTTGCTGGTCACATTTTCTTCTATTTCTTTTTTTTAATTTTGAAATTTTTCTCTTTTAGGTACTACTTTTAATTCGTTTTTTTGATGTTATTTGTTCAGAAAACTTTGTTTTCCAAAATAAGTTAACGGTTTTTACACTATTTTTTTTTAATTGTAAAAGAATAAAAAATTCCAAAATTTAGAAAAAAGTAGAAAAAAACGTGACGTGTTACAATAAAATCTAAGGCAGATTTGAAATCAAGAAGGAACCCAAAATTATCTAAAAACACTCAACTGCTTAAATGTTGAGGAGAAAAGAAAGTGAAATTTTGCAGCTGAGTGTGATTATTAGATTTATAAATAAAACAAATTTATTATTCGGCAACAACCCGATGTACCTCCCGATTTTATAAGGTAAAAATCGATATTAAATTAACATCTATGCATTAGCGCACGTTTTTACACGAAAATTTAACGAAAGCGTTACATTATTCATAATTATCTCCGTTTTCTTGGTAGTCTGTTTTTTCATTGCCACCCATTCCACAAAAACATCGTTTGCGGTATTTCTTAGTTGTTCCTCTTGCTGTTGTTGAGGAGTTGTCTTTGTTTTCCTTTTAAGCTGGAATAGTACAACGACTTCCAACGACTGGAGTGGTTCATCTATTATCGATTCCGTGTCGACTGTAGATACTATCTCACAGAAATTATCATCATGGAGAAGAGACGAGAATTTTTAATTATCGCCTATCACGAGCGCGTACAATGGTAGAAAATACATTCGGTATATTGGCCAATGTGTTTAGAGTACTTCGGAAGCCAATATTACTTCAACCCGATAACGCAGCTTTAGTTGTTATGGCATGTGTTGTTTTGCATAATTTTTTTAGAAGAAATAAGACATCCCTATCAATCTATAGCCCAAATGGTAGTTTTGACTAGGAAGATAATGGAATCTTGGTAGAGGGAGTATAGCGTAAAGCGGATAACGATAGTATGACATCTCTATTACCACTTCGCAGTCTCCCAGCATGGATGTAAAAGCCATTAGAAATGCATTTGCTGAATATTTCACAAGCAGCGGAAAGATACCTTGGCAGGATCAGTACTAGCTGAAACCTGCCATATACATACCATATAGGAAATATTACCAGAAAATATCACGAAATATTTTTAGCGGTAAATTTAAATTAACAATTACTATTATTTATTTTATTACTTATTATTGTATTTATTTTCGTTTGTTCTCGTCAACACTAAGCATACAAATTAACATTAAAGTTATCAGTGTATTTGTTTTAAAATATAATTTTACAAAAGTAAATAAAATAAAATTTATATAAGACTAATAAAATATATAATATAAAATTGATAAACGGAGGGCTCAAGTATTCCAATTCAGTGGACTAAATATCATCCTCGTCTGAAGTCTCATTGGTATCGCTATCGGCATTTACACATATTAATAACGGTTCCACAACTTTGTCTATAATTCCGTTCATTTTCGCCTCTTTGTTGATTATGTGACATTTTGGGATTTAACTCTATAATATTTTTAAAGCCAGCCAACTTTGCATTTGTTTTTTAGTTGTGGATGTAGTTGATATTTTCTCGACCTTACGACTATGGTATGAAGCGTTGTCCATTACAATAACTGCATTCTCAGGTAATTTTTCTAATAGATTTTGAAATCATTCTTCAAATACTTTTGTATTCATTTCTTCATGGTAATCTGTAGTTTTTTTACCTTCGAACACTAACAGACCTCCGTTAACAAAACCTAATTCAGAACCAACATGTGGTATGATTAATCGTCTTCCTTTTCCTGATGGATTTTTAAGCCCCGTAGTTAACCTTTCGATAAATGCTTGCCTCTTGCTCTGAATTGATTCATCTACCCACACTTTCTCTTTTGTATGACCTTCATTAATCCATGTCTCATCTAGATACTAAATTGGTCGTCCTTCACAGCGATAGTTTTTAATACTTTTTAAATACTGCCGTCGCCAAACAATAATATCGTCACGTTCGGTTAGAATACTCCTGCGATTTCTCTTCATGGATCTATAAAAAAAAACATTATAATATAACTCGTATTAAACTCGTAATAAATTATCAAAATGAGATGTTTGAAGGTAGTGGTTTACCTGAAATTAATATTTTTCATCACTTTATATAGTGACGATCGAGATAGCTTTGGTTATTCTGGATGACTGTGTAATTCCTTTAGAATTTTATTCATAGTTGGAGTTTCGTTTTTATAAAAGAAACTGTGATCAATTTGGCGTATGGAAACCTTAGTAAAATCATCAACCTCCGTAATAATTCCAGGTCTCCCACCTAGCTGTTTGGGACTCGTAACCTTTCCGGTATCTTTATATTCCTTCACCACACGGTATACTGTTGATTTTGCTACCCTAACAAATAAAACATTATTTGGCTCCTCCTAGTTTAAAAACAGACTATAGTATTACTTGGAATTATGGGAAATTGGTGCTCCTCTTGCGAAAGCATTTGGTAGCAAATATGTCATATTCATTTTTAAGGTCTTCACGGATTTCTTCAGGATCTATTTGTTGAGGCAGGCCGTCGATAACAAACGGTTATCATTATTAACAATTAACATTCGGTTTGCGTATACCGCAGCGTGTAATGATCTTTGCCGATCCATGTGTTAAGGTCGTCTGTGATTTTTTTATGGTTTGACGGGCCTTGGATGAGCAATGCGATCGGCGGGTACGTGGGTTTTTTGGGAGGGGCGGGTTTTTGAATGGGATAATTGATGCTGTTGGTTGGTGTGTCAGTAACTTCACGTAGAAGAGAGTATTTGTTTGATGTAGGAATTGTTGCTACGGTATTTGTTTGAGTTATTGTTTTGGAGGTAGTGTTAGGAGGTGGATGGTAGAGAGATTTTTTGTGTAAGTGTTTTTAGTTACTGTTTTGGGATGATTTTCTGCTTTTTCGGCGTTTGTGATTCGTCGCTGGAATCTTCCTCCATTTCTTCTACGTTTTCGAAGTTTTTTGATACGATTGTAGAGTGTGATGTTTCTTCGTTGCTTTTTTTGGTTTTTATCCATTTTGTGTTTGCCCATAATGGGCCGCGTTTGCTTCACTTTGAACTGTTTTATTTAATTTCTCCAAAGTTTTTAAAATTATTAAACACGATTCGACCGTTTTTAGTCGCACTCGGGTACATGCGTCCCGGATGGGCCAGACCCTTGAGCTGGGTTTCTTTGTTCGCGCGGTTCAGGTCAGTTCTAAGAAGAATTTTTCTTTGTTTCGACGGAAATGAGCGTAAGGTCACGTAGTCACTTTTCAAAAACTCTGGAGCACTAGGGAGGGAGGTAAAAAAGCGTCCGCTCGCTACGAGAGCTCGAGTTTAACCGCATTGATAAAGCCAGAAACCTAAATGAATCCTCAAATTTTAACTTCATCTGCACCCGTTTTAGCTTTCCCTTGCCGTCAATGTTATCTCCTACGTTTTTTTTCGAAAATGATATGTACTTTTCTTTATTCTGAGCTGTAACGTCCACATCTTCTTCTTTTAATGCCATATGAACTTTGGTAATTGATAATTGATGTTATATACAGCATGTGCGACCCCCAGAGGGCCCCCCTATACAATTAGGTGATCATGGTCGCGTACTTTGTTACCTTTTTTTATTTCTTTCGAACAAATGTGACAGATATCCTGCATCTCATGTAATAATGTATCTATAGGTGGTCGTGGTATCATTTCTTTTGGTTGGTTTAAATAATTTTTCTATATATTCAGAACGTCATGTTCCAACTTGCTTATGAAAATTTGAGCAGCATTACGTCCGCGATATACTTCAAATTTCGACAATGATTCATCATAAGAACATTTTATGTAATATGCAAACGCATATGTTGCTTCCGCATCGGCGATCGGTTTCTGCAATGCTTCAAAATCTGCAACACATTAATCGGTATTTTTAATTGTCTTTCAAAATTTTCAAACTGTAATATAGTTTTTCATAGCTTTTCTTCATTTTCATATTTATTTATTTTCAAATTTTTTGTTGGTAAAATTGCCCTTACCAACGAAAAGAATACCAAACATCTATCGCAAATATACTTTTCATTACTATTCTGCGATGCTTGTGATGATAGTAATCGAGACAGATTTTTTATCCAACAATAGTGACTAATCTAGAAATCATTTATAATTAATAATAAATTTACATGTCTCTCTTCTTTTTGTCGACATATATACATTATAATTATGCTACAATTCATAACTCACTCTTTAAAATACTCATTTATTCCATATTAATAGATAGTTTGTTCTGCTTTTCAAATACAGGTATGTCTCGTAATTTAACTGGAAAAACCATATTTGAATAGTCTAAGCCACAGTTCAGGTAATTCGGATACGAAGATACATCGGCGTTTTGTATATTTATCACAGCACGTTTTGCTTTTATTTGCGGCGGTAGATCGATGTAATTAGATGCTCTTATAGGATTATATTTGTTTAAATTTAACTGCATATAGAGGGATTGCATTAAAGTCCACCTTAAATAAAATATTTATACATTTATTTTTTTAACACGTTCGCTACCACAAGGTATACGAAAGATGCTCATGGTAGACTGAAAACAATTTATTCTTATTTTCTTCGAAAATTTTCTGTTTTTGTACCAGGAATATAATATATAGTAAGAAAATTATGAGAACTTGTTTTCTTGAACACGTCACACCAGTGTGACGGAGGTCTATATGTACAACTTTTTAACCTATTGACCACTTGACACATATATGTGACATTATAAAATTAAAACTGTATACATTTTTAAACAATTTAAATTTATTTCTAATATTACAACATAACAAAAATATCCTTAGAATAAAATATCCTTAAAATATTTTTTAGA